TGACTTCTAAAAGGGAACTCACGTCCCCCATGTTGCCCCCCATGTCTTCAAGCCCCCTCATGTTCAACACCCCTTTTCAGCTCTGAAGCAGCTAGAACGAGCCGTCGCCCCTTCTCCTTACAGCAATAAAGGGTTCCTAAAATTAGGGGGAATGAAGCCAGAAATGGATAGACAGTGTAGATAGGTAAATCGAGTCAGGTTGGATGGATATAGGAGGCCCATTTTGAGTGAGTCTGGGAAGTTGAAGGCGGTCTCCTGAGATTACTGTTTACCAAGATGTAGAGCCTGGCCAAATAGGCCCCCAACTGAGGGAACCATGATTGTTTCCCAAGTTTCCAGAAAAGGGGGGGAATGAAAAACCAGCCTCTATCTCAGAGCAAAGCCTGTCCAAGGAAGGGACATGATCTTTGTCCTTGGAAAGACCCACAGAGCACTCCTAGGCACATTCCCACCCTGCTAAGTGGTTTATCTACAAATAACAGGAGAGATCTGCTACGACAGGTGTCCCTGACTCAGTCAGGCTAGGTGAGGACCCATAGCAGCCACCTAGCAGCCACCAATTAGCATGATACAGGGAAATACCTGGGATGCCAGATGACCCTCCCAGTAGTTTATGGTGGTTGATAACGTGTTGGGAAACTATGTAGTTCAGCACGTACACCCCTCTTGGCTTAAACCAATCAGTTCAAACGAATACCCCTTTTGTACTGACCAATCACCCCTACCCAACTTGTTCCTGCCAGTGAATGTGCTAATCATGTTTTAGAGTTGTTATTTGATTTTCCCGTGGTGTGTGATGATTTGCTAAGAGACGCTCTGATGTATGTGGGGGTCCCCGCCTTCTCCAAAGAATGTATAAAACTGCTGCAAACCCTGGGCTCGGGGCCTCTCAGCGTCACCAGTTGCTGTGTGCATGCGGAGGACCGAGCTAGCTTGCAATAAACACCTCTTTGCTGCTTAAAAAAAAAAAAGAATGTACCCCTACCCCAAACCCCTGCTGTCTCTAGGGAGCTTCCAGAGCTGGGAGGGAGTCCTCCCTGGGGTGTAGGTCCCCAAATGCCAGACTTTGAGGCCTGACTCTCTTCCCTTGACTGTGCCCCGAGAGGACCTAGTTTGCCACTAACTTTGCTGCTGCAGTTATTCAAAGGTAGAAGACTAAAGCTAAAAACCAAAAAAACACCAAAACACCCCAGGAATCCTTATGGGAGGTGAGCTGAAGAAAAGCAGCCCTGAGCCGGGAAGCAGAAGTGCATCCTCTTCCAGAAAGGTTGGACTACACGGAGTGATTCCATCTCCTCATCTCATCAGCTGAATGGAAGGTGAGGAAAGTGAGGCTCAGAGAGATTAAGTAATTTGCCCAAAGTAACACAGCCAGTATGTAACCTCGGACCCCGAAGCCCGTGTTCTCTCCAGTCCTTTACACTGCAGCAGAACTCCTTACAGGCACCGATTAGACCCTTCCCGATGGTTCTAGCAGATCTTGGAAGACCAGCATCAGTGGTACGTTCGCTGAGCAGCGCCACCCTTATCAAGGAGGAAGTATTAAAAGCTGTGCCAAAAGAAGCACAGGCAGCATTTCTGGAAGGGGATGCCAATGTCACACTGGAGGAGGACTAGAGAACACACCGCATCTGCTACTGCTCTGGTCTTCAGAAAGGCGAGTCAGCATGCTGGCTTTAAAGACCCTGGGAGCTGCAGACCCTGGAGTTAAAGCAGGACACCCATCAAAGGAAAAACGGAATGTGGCCATGCTTGCCGGATTGCCAGGGAGGCTGGAACGACCGCATGTCCCAACGGGCTCCTGCCCAGGCAAAGCCTGATGCCACCCAGGTGAGAGTTCCACTCTGGGAAGCTACACAGAACTGCTTCATTGCTCCTGAAGGAGTGGAGAAATCCAAAAATGAGAAATCTGAGGGGTGGGGCTATGGCTCAGTGGCAGAGCGCTCACCTAGCACACGCAAGGCACTGGGTTCAAACCTCAGCACCACATAACAATGAAATAAAGATACTGAGTCCACCTACAACTAAAAAATAAATATTTAAAGGGCTGGGGTTGTAGCTCAGTGGTAGAGGGCTCACCTTGCATGTGGAAGTCACTGGGTTCAATCCTCAGCACCACATAAAAATAAATAAAGGTATTGTGTCTATCTGCAACTAAAAAAATTAAAATAAATAAATATTTTAAAAATGAAAAATTTGAGATTATTATTGTTGATATAAGTGGCCACCACAAGCAAGAGGACTCTCTGAAGAAAGGTTTCAAGCTGCTCACACTGTATAACCTGATGACACTGTTTAGGTGACAGACACCTACACTGGGCAGGCGCCTGAAACCCAGGCTAAGGCTTTTAAATATAAAGTGGCCTCGGTAACAGTGACAAAACTTGGTGGTCATGCAAAAGGAGGTGGGGGACTCAGGCAGGTGCTGCCACAAAAAAATCCAGTGATTTTCATCAACGTAGGGAAACATGGAGATGGATTGAAACCTTTCAAAACAGCCTTTCCTCAGCAAACTTCTGGGTGTGGGTGACAGTGACGTTAACAAGCTGAAGCTGGATGACTCCAAAGCACTTCTAGAGAAGCTGAAATTCAGTCAGTTTCACTGCAAGACATGTGTCATAAAAATGGGCCAGCTGAATCGGATCTTGGGAATGATCCCTGATTTTGAAACATATTTTATGAGTAAAGGAAATGAACAGGAGTCAAGGGCAAGGCTGAAGCAATTAATGACAGTAACAGACAATATGCTGGGCCCAAACCAGACGGTGCCGATGGCGCCAAGGTTTCCAGTGAGCAACCAAGAGGAATCAGAAGACAGGAGGAGAAGAGAGATGCTCAAGGAGCTTTGACCCGAATTATCAAGATTGCACAGGTGGTAAGAATAGATGGGAAGTGTCAAAGGACTTCTCCAAGGTGGTGACAAGTCTAAGAATGTGAGCCCATCACAGACACCAAAATTGAACCAACAGGGGCCCAAATGAGGATCCAAGAGTTAGTTCTTTGACATGTGGGTGTCAGGACTTCAGCCAACCATGAGGCCATTTCCCTGGGGTGCTGCTGGCAACAAGGAAAGGGAAAGGCATGACGGGATTCAAACATCTGCAGAGAAGATGCTGAACCCTTAACTGA